TGCTTTTTATCCTTCTGTTGGACGTGTTCACAGTCATCTTTTCCATCTTTATTTGTGTACATTTATACGAGCTTCATGTGGCTGCAAAATCCAATATGTTTATAACTTAACTTCTGAACACAATATAAGCTTAAAGTTTGGGAGAAGAGGTCACTTGATGATTTGTCTGGGGTTGCTCCTTATTCTCACCCTGGTGTCCACCGTAGTGCCGTATGGGAATCTCTGCCTTATAGGAATAATTAATTCCAGAAAAAAAGACACTTAAAGTGAATCCTATCAAAATGGAAAAAAAAATCAGTGGAAAGGTTTTGATTGGAACTTCCTCTTGCAAAATAGAACCGCAGATTATGAAAATTAGTTTATCTTTGATCTAATAAAATTTGGATTATAATGAAAGCTCTATTAATTTTTAGAATAAATGGTTAATTTTTTGACGAAACTATAAACCACAAACAATATCTTCACTTCATGTTTGGCTTTTGCAGCAGGGTCATAGGAAAGTATTTTTCCCCCCAAATCCTTTTTTGAAATAATATTTAAGGCTTCATCAGTTTTTCCAAGGAGCTTTCCTCATCCAGAATGTAATTATTTGAATATAATTCTCTTTTTGAGTATCCGTTATGTCATTATCCTTGTTGTTTGTTTCTTCTGTTATTAGCTGGCCTTTAATTAGGCATAACTCTGTGCCTTTGTGTAATGTTAGAAGAGTTCTTCAACATCACTTTTATCTACTTCTAGAAAATCTGTATTGTCTTGGTCCATTCTAGCTACTGTAACAAATATCTTAGTCTGGATAATTTGTAAACAACAGAAATTTATTGCTCACAGTTCCAGAGGCTGGAAAGTCCAAGAGCAGGGCACCAACAGATTCGACGTCTGGTGAGAGCCTGTTCCTTGTAGACGGTGCCTTTTCTGTGTCTTCAAAGGGCAGAAAGGCAAAAAGGGTTAACAAGCTCCCTTAGGCCTCTTCTACAAGCACTAATTCTATTTATGGGGGCAGAGCCCTTTCAAAGTCCCCACTTCTCGAATGCTCCACCTCTTAATACCATCACTTTGAGGATTAGATTTCAACCTGTGAATTTTCGGGGGCAGAGGTACATATATTCAGACCATAGCGTGTATCTTGTATAAGAATTTAATTTCAGTTTGCAGGTGATTTGTATTTGCATAAAGTCTGAAGTATTAAAAAAATCAGTGGGAGAGTATAAATGTTAATCCTAAGAAAGGCCCACTTCATACAGCCACATAGGTCATGCACTGCAAAACTTCAAGGGATGGCTGAAGGGAGAGATGATTTAATTTTATATGTGATTGGTTCATAAGTGATTTTGATGTTATAATAACATAAATTTTCCTATGCAAGCATGTAATTACAGGGACTCAAATAATTAGTAATGTGGTCAGGAGAATTTCCTTCTCCACTACTGGTGGTTAATACAGATTGTTTATTGAATGACTGAATATACTAGATCTGCTTTTCCTATGTCATTTGATACTAAGTTAATCTAAGAAAATATCTAGAAATAAAACATTTATGAGACAAATATAGCAATCTAAAATACAGAACAAAGAATTTTTAAGTACTGACTCTGCTTAAGACATATGCTGTACTGTACTAGGCACTGCAGGGTATATGGAATAAATTAGCTATAGTCAGTTATGAGGCTTACATCCAGGGGATGATGAACATTAACAGCTAAAACACAACGTTGATTTTCTGTAGCAAATATACCCGTGTTTAGATATTCAAAAGACTGTTGTCCCTTTTCATGCTTTAGGTGCTTTCGCTTATTCATGCATTCACTTCATTCAAGAAATATTTGTTGAGGACCTGCTACTGTATGCGGCAGGCATCGATCTAAGTACAGGAGATGTGTCAGTGAACAAGACAGACAAGTAACTCCCAGGAAATTTACATCTAGGCAGAGGAGATAGACAATATACCAACAGATTGATAAACAAGAGAAATAGCAGGTAGTGATAATCCAGACAGTATAGGGTGAGAACATTATGTGTCAGGGCCACTTTAGGTGGAGTGATCAGGGAAGGCCTGTCCAGCAGGGGACGTGGAAACTGAGTGGCCACATGCAGGTGTGGGGAGGGCATCCTGCAGGGGTCAGTTAGAGCGTGGCAGGAGGCCAGCATGGGGAGAGGACCTTGTGTGGCAGGGGCTACAAGAGTTTAGGTTTTCTTCTCAGTCACTGAGAAGCCAAGTAGAGTAGTTAAGATGTTAAGATTTACTTCGGTAAAAGATTACCATGCCCGCTGTGTGGGGAATGGATTGAACGGGGGCAAGTGTAAGATCAGAGAGACCAGTTAGGGGACTATGGCCCTAGTCCAAGTGAGAGACGGCAGGGTTTGGACCAGGCTGGTAGTAATGGAGATAGAAATGAACAGATGGAGATACAGGATTTTGAAGTGAAGTTGACACAACTTGGCTGCTCAGCCGAATGTGAGAGTTGAAGGAAACAGAAATTTGGAGTAATTCCTAGATGTCTGGTTTGAGTAACTGGTGACGGTACTATTTATTGATATGAGGAAAACTGGCAGGGAGTGAGATCGGGGCACGGTGATGGCTAGGGCATTAGGAATTGTTTTCAGCATTTTAAGTTGTCAATTTAGATATCCACATGGAGTTGCCAAGTAGGCAGTTTTCGATTAAAAGATATAAAAGTAGATATCCATATTCCATTGAGAAGGTAAGAAATATGTTGGGACTAAGTCTTAGGTATGTAGCCGAAATAGTTAAAATGCCTATTTTTATATTAATTTAACAATTTGGTTACATGTACATATTTAAAATCACATCAGGTATGTTAATTTAGACATACCGCTTTTTTCTTATCTTACATTTTACAAAACAATTTTATTCAAAACCTTCCTGTAAGTTTTTGACAGCTTCATATGCATTTTTAACATCAGTGTCTTTGGCACTGCTAATGCAGTTTTGGGGGTTACATAAGGATTTCCCAGAGTTTGTCACCTTCATTTTTAAGATTTTGAGATACAGAATTACTTTGATCAGTGTATGTTGTCCTCATTGGAAATTTTGTCCTAAGCCACAACATGCATCTATAAAACATTACGACAGTTTTTTATATTTTTAAAAAACCTATGTAGTAAGCCAGGCACAATGTCTCACAGCTGTAATCCCAGCACTTTGGAAGGCTGAGGAGGAGGACTGTATGAGGCCAGGAGTTGAAGACCAGCCTGGGCAACATAGTGAGACCCAGTCTCTGCAAAAAATTTAAAGAAAAAAATAGCTGAGTATAGTGGCATGTGCCTTTAGTCCCAGTTGCTTGGGAGGCTAAGGCAGGAGGATTGCTTGAGCCCAGGAGTTCCAGGCTGCAGCAAGCTGTGATCGGGCCACTGCACTGCAGCCTAGACAACAGAGTTAACCCTGTCTCAGAAATAAACAAGTAAATAAATGGATAATCTGTGTAGGTATATGTGCTTGTGTTCTGTACGAAATACCTATCTACTACCTTGCTTTTGTTCTTCTTAGTTTAAATTTGTAATACCTCTTTATTATAAAGTCAGTCAATTCATAAGACCAGTGAGGTTTTTTTTAAAATTACATATGGATTTTTAAAATTTATTTTTTAATTGACAAAATTTTATAAATTTATGGTGTACTACATGATGTTCTGATATCATTGTATACATTGCGGGATGGCTAAATCAAGCTAATTAACATATACAGTACCTTACATACATATCAGTTTATTGTGGTGAGAACAGTTAAAATCTACTCATTTAGCTATTTTCAAGTATATACTACATTATTATTAACTATAGTCACCATATCGTACAATGAATCTCTTGAATTTATTTCTCCTAACTGAAATTTTGTATCCTCTGACCATTGTCTTTTAAAGAGATCTTTGAAAGATTTTTATAACTGCATCCAATGCATGAAATTATGAGGGAGGTAATATTTACCTTTTTATTTTGACCCATTCCATTCTAGACTGATATCATTTCACAGTAATATACATTTAACAAATAATACATCATTGTTCAAAATAAAATAATTAGGAGAACATCCCATAAATGAAAGACTTAGTAAAAACTCAGAAATAAGGCATCTTCTTTTCAAACTCTTTTGTATCATCTTTTTTCACTTAATAAATTGTGGAGATTATTCATATCAGTACATATAACCATTTTAATGTCACCTTAGTGTTCCATTGTATAAACGTGCTATGATGTATTTAGTCAGCTTTCTATTGGTGACAGGAGATTGCTTCTTATCTTTGCTATAGTAAACAATACTACAGTAAATACCCTTGTGTTTCCTTTGCCAAATGTGTAAAATCTCTGGAACAAAGGATAGATGCATTTTAAAATTTGTTAGCCATTGCTTACTTGCCCTCCAAAGAGGTAATGGCAATTTCCACTACAACCAAGAAGACTGGAGAGTGACTACATACCTACAGTCTCTCCAAAGTAGTACATTGTCAAAATGTTTCTATAATCTTTCTGCATACCAGATTAAATTTTTCTATTTTCTATTTTCTCCTCTAAATCTTATCTATCTTTACAATATAGATAGAACTGTATAAAATTATACACACTAGCAAGCCAAATTTAGATAAATATTTGTTTTTAATTTTCAAATATTTAACTTTAGAACAAGTTGTATGTTTAAAACATCAGATTAGTTTCCATATTTATGTTTTCTTTTGATTGTTAGATTTAGTATCTTTTACTTTTTAATATAAATAATTTTGAGAGAAGCAGATTTGATGCTTTGGTATGTTGCAAATCAAATGAATCATATATGTAGAAGTCAGACTTTATTAAGATGATCATTGAAGGAATTGTCCTTTATAGTTTTTCAAAATAAAATTGTATTAAATAAACCATCTTGTTTTTATTTTCTATGACAAAGCAAATCATTATCTAATTGGTTTACTGCGAGAGGATTTTTAGCAACTTTCAGGAGTAGCACCCTTCCTCCTTAAGTATCTAATGTGTCTGCATGTTCCCTTCTGCAGAGAAATGGTCAATGCATGGTTTGCTGAGAGAGTTCACAACATCCCTGTGTGCAAGGAAGGCATCAGAGGCCACACGGAGTCTTGCTCTTGTCCCTTGCAGCAGAGTCCTCGTGCAGATAACAGCGCCCCTGGAACACCAGCCAGGAAAATCTCCGCCTCGGAATTTGACCGGCCTCTTAGACCCATTGTTGTCACGGATTCCGAGGGAACTGTGAGCTTCCTCTCTGACTCAGAAAAGAAGGAACAGATGCCTCTAACCTCCCCACGGTTTGATAATGATGAAGGGGACCAGTGCTCAAGACTCTTGGAATTAGTGAAAGATATTTCTAGTCATTTGGATGTCACAGCCTTATGTCACAAAATTTTCTTGCACATCCATGGACTCATCTCCGCTGACCGCTATTCCCTGTTCCTTGTCTGTGAGGACAGCTCCAACGACAAGTTTCTTATCAGCCGCCTCTTTGATGTTGCTGAAGGTTCAACACTGGAAGAAGCTTCAAATAACTGTATCCGCCTAGAATGGAACAAAGGCATTGTGGGCCATGTGGCAGCGCTTGGTGAGCCCTTGAACATCAAAGACGCATATGAGGTGAGCAGGGGACGTGAGAGCAGGGGACCGTGAGAGGAGGGAAGGGAATATGGCTGGGTCACTGGACAGCAGTTGTGGATGGTGGGTTATTGAAACTGTGGTGTATTATAGTAATCTGCATACTTACTTAAAACCAGAATGTATGCTGAGAACTTCCCCATCTTTTAAATGCCAGAGTTTCTTCACTGGGGGTTCAGTCAAGGATATGGGCCTGAGAGAAATCTTGCCTTGTTTTTCTCCTTAACTATAATTTAAGATAGCTCATCCTATAGTTGTACTCTCTCATCTTTTTATCTGATCACTGTACATATCCCTATCTATGTTATCTCCACGCGAACCTCTGAAGATTTTACTGAGATTCCAAGATGATAGGTCAGAAAACTGTCAAAAACCCAGACAAACCTATTGTCTTTTTTCATTTAATTAATCATATTCATTCACTTAAAGTCCCATTGATACAGAAATCTGATTTTCTTTCCTTCCATTCTATCATTTATTTTTTTAAATAAACTTACAGATATCTTCAAAAAATGGACATTTTTGGCTCCAAAATATTTCAATGTTTCCGTTTGCTATTTCTTCCATTTTTGCTATGGCTATGCACAGGTCTTTGATTATGGGCTTAAAGACTATACTATAAGACTCTCCAAATTTCCCATTTATTTATTTATTTATTTTTTATTCCATTTATTTATTTTTATTTTTTTTTTCTTTTTGTTGACTTCACTTAAACTTAAATGCATATTTTGTTAAACAAAGACCATAAACAAATATTTACCATGTTTGTTACATGTAACATACAGGAACAGCTTTTAACAGAAACTCATCAACTCCCCAACATTTTTTTATTATAAATACAGGTATCAAAACAATCCCGAACATATTTTTGATACTACTAGTAGTCAGCACCCACACTGCTTCAAAAATTAACACAATTTGTGACAAAATATTCATTGTACCTGCTACATTAAACAGTTTCAACTGCAGCTCTTTTGCTAAGCAAGATGAATTTTGCTAAGCCAATTCTGTTTTTCTTTCTTGAGGTTTTTACTTTTCATAAACACACATGCTTCCACTGCCATCTGACACCTCTCTTCACGCTTTCATGTTGTAAATCTGAATTCTATCTCGAGTATTCCAGGTTTATGTTTAAATGACAGTGCCTTAACAAGAGAAAAAAAATTGTGCTGCATTTTTCCTCCTGTTACCTGAAAACATAATGGGTGTACGTATATTAAATATATTCTTATTTAATACAAATGCCCAGGTCATGTCTACCAGGTGGAGTTCTTTTACTTAATGGGTGGGTATTTTGCATTGTGATATTTAATCAAGACGTTAACATGAGTAGAAGGTTGTTGATTTAAGACAAGTTTGAGATCCACTGAAATTAATTGTTGTATGTTTGTCCTTCTGGTGGCTGTGGAAGCTTCACGTTTTCCTTGGACATCATGAGACGTCTTAGCTCTTGACGCGCAACTTCACTGCTATGTGAATTTTGCCATTTTGCTAACACTGGTATGCTCCATGCATCCACCATCCCACTGGAATTATTTACTCCATCCGTATTAATTTTTGTTACAAATCTAACCAATGGAGGAGCTTCTGGGTATTTAGATCCACATTCTACTTTCAAGCTGTATATTCTGTTTTCATAATTTGTCCTTGGCGGCCCAATATTCATGCCTGTCCACCTTGTCATATCTTCATCATCTTCAAGGCCCCAGCTAACCGTACCATCGCCTACTCCTTTTCATCCTTCTTCAAGTTCTTCCAACAAACAATTACCAGGAACTTTAACTCCCATGGAGACCACCATCTTCTCCTGTAGCCCCCAAATCTCCCATTTAAAATGACCTTTTTTATTAATAGAATTATGATTTTGAAACAGAGCATCTTAATTGAATGACACTTTGTATGTCTGTGAGGTACTTCATAGCACTTTGACAGAACCATTGCTACCTGCCTACTCTGTGGTACTTTATGAAGATTCTGGCTAGCTTTATGTAATCTGAAGGGTCATAGCTATTTTATCACCCCTGTGTACCTGGTGCCTATTATAGTGTTTGGCATAGAGCCAGGTCTTAATAAATAGAAAGCAGATCATTATAGATGCCAAGGAAATGTGGTAGGGTTCAGAGAAGCAGGATAGGTAGGATATGTGGTTGGAAAGATGGAAGAAGATTTCTTTGAGGAAGTAATGCTTGATATGGACCCCGGAAATACATAATATTTCAATACATTGAGATTTGTGCATGGTGAGATCCAGAGGTAAAGGGAAATTTGAAGAAGAAACAGAGACGTTGGACCATGGAAATGTGCGGGTAAGCAGACAGACATTGGGCTGTGGGAACAGGTCCAGGAAATTACTGGGGTCTTGAATACCAGGCTGAGGAATATATATTTGGCTCAGAGCCATGAGGAGTAATTGAAGATGTTTTGAAAGGGGGACCAGTATGATTTAAACTGTGCTTTAGAAAGATGAATTTTACAGCAGTCATAAAAAGAATTAGAGGGAAAAATACCAGAAGCTGGGAGGATGGAAAATTATTTTAATAGTCTAAGTATGAAGAAGTGGGGACCTGAGCAAGGACACTGGCCTTAAAGATCAACAGGAGGGAATAGGCCCTGCTGTTGAATTGTGGTGGCTCACACCTGTAATCCCAGCACTTCGGGAGGCCAAGGCGGGAGGATGGCTTAAGCCCAGGAGTTTGAGACCAGCCTGACCAACATAGTGAGACTCTGTCTCTACAAAAATTAAAAAATTATCTGGGCGTAGTGGTGCACACATGTAGTCCCAGCTACTTCCGAGGCTGAGGCAGGAGGATCAATTGAACCCCAGGAGTTGGAGGTTGCAGTGAGGTATCATGATGCCACTACATTCCAGCCTGAGCAACAGAGTGAGACTGTGTCTCCAAAAAAAAAAAAATGATAGGGAGTGGATTTCGGATGAAGAAGTAGAGCCTGCTAAACTTGGCAGCTAATAGGATATGGAAGTGAGGGGAAAAGAGGAGTCGAGGATGCCTCAGGTTTTGAAGTTGGGTGAGGGAGGATATGGTTCTGCTGAGGAATACTGGGGGCTGGCACGTGGGATGTGATAGTTCAGCAAGGTTGAATCCTGAGATATTTTTTCAGAAGCCATTCTATATAAGCATTGTGTTCAATTTTGATTTTCTGTGAAAGATTTACCGATCTTCATAGAGCTATCTCCGTGACCTCCTTGAGCTCTGTAGTAACTTCACACTGTAACAGACTCCAAGAGGGGTATTAAGGACACAGCTGAAGGACTGCTGCCAAATTTGCAGAATTCCCTTCCTGTCTTAGGTGACAGCTGAGTTTCCACTTTTCAATGGCACTATAGTCCCAAGTACAGCAGCACCATAAATATTCTTCAGCTTTGCTGAGAAAGCCTTCATTTGTCTGTGTGGCCCTAAGTGTGTCTGGCCCTGAGAATTCTTCACTCACATATATTGTATTTAATCTGCTTACGGTCTTTAAAGTTTTGACAGTGTGTTTTTTGTTTTGCAGTTGATGATTGAATTCTTGTGCTGCTGTCTAAAATAGCCAGTGTCCTCAATCTGCACTGCTCCCAGGGTGCAGCCTCTTAGCCTGTTGCTGCTTCACCCTGCGAAGTCTCGTTCTGTGTTACAGTGGCCTTGCAGGAGTTACTCGTGTCCCAAGACTTTCATTAGAATGTGTGGGGGTTGATCTGTGATCTAATTTACATTGGTTTTAGCAGTTTGAATAATCATAATGCGACTGTCTCATAACCTTTTTTGAAAGGAGTCAGGATATGAAAATACATTCTAAGTTTTCTGAGTCCCACCTCTTTAAATGTGCATCTGTAAACATGACGCTGTACGACAGCATTTCTTAAGCTCATTTGACCACCGAACACTAAAGGTCGTATTGTCACAGGGGGAAACCAAGAGGTAGCTGCAAAGTGTAATCATACTCAGATAGATGCTAAGAATGAAAAATGTCTTATAAGATAATTTTAAGAAGTTACCAATATTTGATTCACTTTTAAAAACTTTGTAATAGAAAATGATATAAATTTGAAAACTCAATTACTATATTACTAACAAAACAACACATTCATCTGTTTAAAATATAAGACAAGATCCATAACTTAGACTAGTGATTCCCAATGAGACCATGAATCTTAATGAAAGAGTTGGCTGATGAATGCTGCCTGCACGTTGGTGTTCACGCATTGTCTCCTGCATCAGCCCCATGCAACTTCCTTGAATGTGGCACAGTATTAATAATAAAGATATTAACACATTTATTAGTAAGAAGATAAAATATTAACCCTTATAATCAGAAGTTATTACCTTAATAATAAGATACAATGAGAACAACTATATAAATGTGTTTGGTGTTCTCCTTATATATGAAAAGTAGGTGTCATCCGATACCTGTGCTAGATTGCCTGGAACCCCCATTCCACATCCTAGGGAAGTCTTGAGCCTTCCCGAGATTTTATATGTTTAAGGACTGACATTGTCAAAATACCTTCTTTCACCCAAGTCACCTGGAATGCAAAACTTAGACTCTCCTGTTTCCACAGGACAGCCACTCCCTGAGTCCCGTGATGTCTAAAGAGAAAACTTGGAGGGTCTTAGGGCAGGATCCCATGGCTCCTTTTGTGGCCTTTCACCATGGAGCTGCTGCTCCTCCTGCCCCCACTTCATCCCTTCCTTTCATTGTTTCTCCAGAGAAGCACAGTTTCACCTTCTCTCACCTACAGGTCTCACTTTTCACTTTAATTGTTTACCAAGATATTTTCCTAAAGAAATATAAACTCTGTCAGTTGACTTTCTGATGAACAAAATTGTTTCCAGCGTGAATTGGAGAAAGGGAAAAGAACACTTGCAACTGTTTTAATTGGGATAAATCCATTTACTAATCTCTTAACGGTATCATTGTGCCAGGGAACACAGTTTGGGAACTGCTATGTCTGCTTGTTCTGTATTCTAATCACTTTTAGGCATTCT